AACATGCGCGAGATGACTGGAAAGATTATCTGGGTTTGCTTCATGAGTTATAGGTTAGGTGATTTTATATGCCAAAATAAAATGTTGAAAGTTTTAAATGTAAGATTTTCATGAAGACTTGGTTAGGAATTTATGTCGTAAGTATAGCTACATTTCGAAGAATCTTTGATCCTCCTCATGAAAGGGGTTTGTCTTCGATCGAACAATAAGGTACCAGAGCAAATTCATAATGATTGACTTGTAATGATTTAATCTTCAAGAAAATTTCTCAAAATCTTTATCGTATAAAAAGGCAAATGGCAATAGGAGGTGAATTGAAGAGTTGATTAAATCTAGCGATTCATGTAGAATTGATGAGATTCGTAAATGGCAACTAATATACTCCTGAGGTTCAGAGAATCGAGTATTTCATTTCTGAAAGAAAACTTTTAAACACTTAAACATTTGAAAAAACCAATTCCATTTATAGGAAAACATTACTGCATTGGCCTTTTTCCCGGTTTTCTCGCTAGTTGATGGTTTTTGCTTATCTTTATTCTCTTTCTTATTCTCTTTGGAATCTTTTGGTGGCGTCCAAGGTTCAGCCGGTGCACCCATAACGACCATTCGTCTTCCAACTATAAGCAGTTTTTTTGAAATCAACATTATCTCATTAGAATTAATAAGGATGTAGATTTGAAAGGAAAATGATTATAGGTTTCTTGCAATTAAAACTACTTACTACATTTCCCCGTTTCACCGTCCATTATCCATTCTTCAATCATTCTCGAAGACACTTAAATAATACGGTTAGTAAAACAAGGCCACTTAAAAGAAGCTTTTCAGAAAGTTTTAAGTAAAAAAAATTAAGGAAGAAAAAAAAAGCCAAACCTACTTCTAGCCAAATATTAGTGAAAATGTTGTGAGTCATCGATCCGACTTTCTAAGGCACCACCTCAACGTGTTTATTCTTGTTGTTCATGTTCATGTATCCTATATGAGCATTGGGTTTGATCGTTGACAATGCTATCTCGGAATGAACATGTCAGTTCCTGTATCTACAAAATATTCACAAGTGAAGCATAGATGGCTCAATTTTAAAGCGGTTGACTAGTGTTCTATTGATTTAGGGTTCGAAATTGAGCGAGTATTTGAAGAAATGGGTTTCTATGGCTTGCGTTCGACGTTGGACAATTATTCTTATGATTTTATCTGAAAAATTGCAATAAACCATAATTATTCTTGCTATCTCTTCCCCATCTCTGCAAGAATGAGTTTTGAACTCTTCAGAAATTTTCACCCCTTCAGACAATGATGTTCTTATAATATTCCTGATTATTTTCTTGTTAACTTCGTTAGCGTTGCTGCTTGGAGACGTTATAACTCCTGTCACTTTGAAAATCTTACAGTTATGCCATCGTCGCGGGACCACTGCTGACTCCGCCCCGCTGCCGTTTATCAATGTTTATTGATTGACTTCAATTCTCAGGCGGTTGTAGTGGTGCTAATTCATTGTGCCTGCGGCGTAATCGCCATGATTCTTCCATGATTATTATGGGATGGGTGTAAGGCGGAAGGCGACAAAAGTTGAAGAGCGCTCGTGTAGAAATACGTCATTTTGCTCAACTATCTCGGCGCTTTTTGCCTAAGCATAATCAGGAAAGGATTCTTACGCTTAAGGCCCAAAAAGGGACACCTGGAAGTTGAAGTGTCAAAGATATGCAAACGTGATTCGGTTTAGTTGCCTTCCTCGTGCTCCCCCTTCTTTGGTATGGTGCTGACTAAAAAAGACTTGAGAAATGCGTCTATAAAAACATCATACAAACGATCATGAAACTTCAGATCTTCTTCCCGCCTTAGAATTGAAATCAATTAGAAATGAAATCAATCAACAGGCATGGCAAAGCGCCAGCGTGGCGGAGTAAGTGATACCGCGATGGTATAACTGTAGGATTCAGAAGTGACAGATTCCGAGTCACATTATTATATATTTTTGCTACTTGGTATGACTCCCAACCTGTACCCTCTTAAAGGATAAAGAGAGATCAAGATGTTTCATTTAGTCAATAAAGGATATAATGTTAGTTAGACTAACAAACTAGATCTCTTGAAAGAAACAAACGAATATTACTTTTATATTTTCAAATGCGGTGCTTAAGTAACAATTATACCTCTTGTTAGACTCAAATGAACGGTATTAATTTAACTCTTTTTTTTTGTGTTTGAACACTCTTATTGTTGTTGAAACAAGCTGATCAGCTTGTTGATGGTGTCGCACAATTCACGATAGTTATATTTTCGAAATAGCTTCTTTGCAATACATTGTCAGCTAAAAGCGAAATGAATATTGCAAAAA